CTGCTGACGATGATGATGATGCTGCAGCTGCACTGTCACTGCGAACACATAAATAAAGGCCCACTTGGCAACCAGTGGCACTAGTAGCTCTCACTTGCTACGACAGACCACTGCAGGGAACTAATTTCATTTCATTTATCCAGCGTTGAAATCTCCGATTTAGTCAATCAGTGCAGCTTTGTTTTTGTTATTGTTCATCGCTTTTTTTTCTCCTTCCTTTTTCTACAATTTCATAGCATCTGCAACAACAGCGGAGACGGCAACATTTGCTTATATCGTCTGTTTTCCTTTGTTTGCTTTGGCAGCATTTAACTCTGATAAACTGTGACAATCACCCTCACTGATCAGCAGAGCGCATTGACTCCTCGCGTTGATCACTGCTCTTCAACTGCCAACTCCAACTCACCACAATTTGCAGTGATACAATATCTTCTCAGTGAAAAGTTCAAAAAACATTCAAGATCAATTCATCCAGGAAAAAACTTCCGATGTTCATGCACTAGTTGGTTGACACACATTTATTGCATGTTCACCACCACCACTACCACCACCACTGACCATCATGAAAAAGACACAATCTCGCTTTGTAAAAGGGGCCCGTTTTGACCGGACGCCCTTCCTCTGTCGCCTCATTTTCACGTGAGCAACCTTAAACTTTCCTTTTTTGCTTTGATTTTCATAACTCTAAATTTTCCTCTTCAACACACAGCTACGTCTTTCCCACCTTCTGGCAAGGAATGCGCAACAATGGCCTGAGCATGGAGGACATTGACCGGTGTCCGGAGAAGGACGAATCGGAGCGCGTCACCGCCCTGCTGATGGCCAACTGGAGGAGGGCGCGGGCGCGGACCGCCCGGCCCAAGTTCGCCTGGGTCCTCTTCCGCACCTTTGCCTCCAGCTACGCCTTTCCCTTCTGCGTGTACGTCTTTGAGGTAAGAGGAGAAAAAAGCTAAAGCTAACAACAAAAATCCTAAAAAAACCTAAACCTTTTCCAAATAAATTTGCAGGAGTGCGTGCTGAGGATAGCGCAGCCGCTGCTGCTCGGCCAGGTCATCCGCTACTTCTCGGTGGGCGCGGAGGCGTCCGGGATTAGCCACGGCATGGCCTGCCTCTACGCCGGCGGCGTCTGCCTCTGCACCCTCCTCTTCGTCAGCGTCCACCACCCGACGATGCAGCAGGTGATGCGGCTGGGCATGCGCCTAAGGACGGCCAGCTGCGCCCTGATGTACCAGAAGGCGCTGAAGCTGTCCCGGGCCAGCGTCGGCCAGACGGCGGCCAGCACCGTCATTAACATCANTGTGTACATTGTGTGGACGTACCTCGGTGTGGCCTGTTTTGCCGGCATCGGCCTCCTCCTGCTCTTCATTCCCTTTCAGGCGCTGATGGGGCGTCTTTTCTCCGGTGTCAGGTAAGCTTTTGGGTAAAATAAAAAAAATATTAAATTCTTTAAATTTTTTAGACTGCGCACTGCCCTGCTCACCGACGCCCGTTTGAAGTACATGAATGAGATCATCAATGGAATGCGGGTGATCAAGATGTACGCCTGGGAGGGGCCGTTTGCCAGTCGAGTCGCCGATGCCCGAAAGTAAGTTGATAGTAACAAGTAAAAACTCTCAATCATTTGATTATTTTCTCTCCTCCAGAGCCGAGGTTTCCCAGGTGAAGCGAGGCCTTTTTCTGAAGGCGATCAACCTGAGCATGTTCTTTGTGGCCAGTCGAATCATTCTTTTCTGCTGCTTCGTCCTCTACGTCCTGGTAATTCAGCCCCTGACGGCAGAGGCGGTTTTTGTGAGCATGGCGCTCTTCAACACCCTGCGCCTCATTCTCACTTTCATGTTCCCCTCGGCCATCAGCCAGGCGTCAGAACTGAAGATTACCTGTCGGCGGATTGAGGTATTTGCATATTATTAGGTTTTTAATCAAATTTTTACTCATTTTTTCTTGTCTGCTTCAGAAATTCCTCCTTCTCGAAGAGATGCCTACGCCTGAGGAATTAAAAAGCAAGGCTGGCAAAGAGAAAGACGGCAGCAAGGGCAGCTCCGTGGTGGTGAACAACATTACCGCTAAGTGGAACCAAGAGGTGGTTCGACCCACGCTAAAAGACGTCTCTGTGCGGCTGAAGCAGGGCGACCTGCTGGCGGTGATTGGCCCGGTCGGCAGTGGAAAGGTAGTGCTAACTAGCTAAAAATTTTACTCAAAAATCCTACCAAAAAACTCTCCCCTTTAGAGCTCCTTCCTGATGAGCCTCCTCAATGAGCTGCCCGTGGAGGCGGGCCGCGTGGAGGTGGAAGGCAGCGTGGCGTACGCTAGCCAGGACGCCTGGTCTTTTCAGGACAGCGTCCGCAACAATGTCCTCTTTGGCATGGACTACGACGACAAGCGCTACCAGAAGGTGGTAGAGGTGTGTGCCCTCCAGCGCGACCTCACGCTGATGCCATTCGGCGACCGGACGCTGGTCGGCGAGAAGGGCGTCAGTTTGAGCGGTGGGCAGCGAGCGAGGATCAACTTGGCCAGGTAAGCATTTAGATTTGTTTCCTTCTAAAACTCAGCCATTTGTTTACCATTTCTTTAGAGCCGTGTACCGAAACGCCGACATTCTCCTCCTGGACGACCCGCTCTCTGCCGTGGACACCAGCGTGGCGGAGCACATTTTTGAGCGGTGCATTCTGGAGCACCTGAAGGAGAAGATTCGCATTTTGGTCACCCATCAGGTGCAGTTCATTGAGAAAGCCACCAAGATTCTGGTGCTGAAAGAGGGGCAGGTTTTTGCCTTTGGCAGCTACAATGAGCTGCAGCAGCTCGGAATTGACTTTATGAGCCTCCTTTCGGAGCCTGAGAAGGACGGGAAAAGTGAAAGTGGCGGTGATGGAGACTCCCTCTCCCGCGACCGAACCACTTCAACTCTCAGTCTGGAGCGATCCATCAGCGTGCAAAGCGTCAGTTCGGATGCGCTGAAGGGCCGCTCGAGGACGCTCTCCTCAGCAAAGGCGACCGAAAGCTTCGAGGTGCAAAATCCCGAGGGTGATGATGACGACGAGAAACAGGCATTGGAAGAATCAACTGAGATTAAAGCAGAAGAAGAAAAATTCAGCCGCGGTTCAATCAAGGGTCGCGTCTACAAGGAGTACCTGAAAGCTGGGTCGGGGCCGGTGATGTTCATCGCCATGATCTTCTTCACCGTCGCCTCGCAGGTGCTCTTCCACGGCTCGGATTATTTTCTTACCTACTGGTAAAATGAAATTATTCTTTATTAAACGTAATTAACAATTAATTCAACTCAACAGGACCGACAACAACCAGCGCAATGACATTGTGGTGGATGAGTCTCAGCAAACCACTGACATTATCATCTACTCGGCGCTGGTGGCCGCCCTCTTTGTCACCACCATCCTCCGCTCGGTCTTCTTCTTCGTCATCTGCATGACCGCCAGCGTCAATCTGCACAATAAAATATTCGCCCGACTGCTGCGCGCTCAGCTGGCCTTTTTCGACGCCAATCCCGCGGGCCGCATATTAAACCGTTTCACCAAGGACCTGGGCATCATCGACGAGAATCTACCCACGACAGCGTTTGACCTCAATTTGACCATTGGCCAGGCAATTGGCGTAATCATCACCGTCAGCATTGTCAACTATTACCTTGTTCTGCCGGCCATTGTCCTCGCCGGGCTGATCGTCTACATTCGCGGCATCTACATCAAGTCGGCGCGAGACATCAAACGATATGAGGGGCTCGCCCGATCGCCCGTTTACTCGCACGTCTCCACGACCATTGCCGGGCTGGCCAGTATCCGCGCTTACGGCGCTCAGAGGCAGTTTGAGCAGCAGTTTTACAGCTACCAAAATGATCACAGTGCCACTTGGTTCATCTTTATTAGCTCTTCGCGAGCAATGGGCCTGATGATGGATTGGATCAGCACGCTTTACATTTGCGTCATCACCCTTGTGGTGATGCTCGGTGGCAGCATTCAGGGGGGCGAGGCCGGCCTGGCAATCTCCTCGGGGCTGATGCTGAGTGGTATGACTCAGTGGCATGTTTTTTCGTTCCTAGACTTGCAAAGTTGGGTGTCGTGAACCAAAAGGCCCAGTGCGGTACTAAGTTTGGTTCATCACACTCAATTTAGCACTTTTGTTTTTATACTTTTGACTAATTAACTGTTTTATTTATTTTACAGGGTGAGTCAAAGCTTATATCTGCTAATTCTTTAACTGCGGGTATCTTTAAGAAAACAAAATTGTTTTTAAAATGAATATCTGCAGTAACTGATTTATGACAAAATTTTTAACTATTTTTGTTTTAACTTTTTGATAAATCATTTTTATAGGGTGTGCGGTAAGTAAATGGAAATACTTTTTGAACTTTTGATTAAATCTTTTTTATCCTCTTTTTTTGTGCAGGCAATCGGCTGAATTTGAGTCGCAGGTACGTGAGGCAATTTTTTCCCTGCACAGTGGCAGTACCGAGGAAAACTCTACTTTGGCTGTGTTGACGCAGCACGAGTTTCCTCCCAAACAAACAGTTTATTACACACTTAATTTACTTTTTGGCAGATGACCTCTGTAGAGAGGCTTGTAGATTATTATTCACTGGCAAAGGAAGCGCCGGCAGAATCGGAGCCGAAATTGAAGCCTTTTAAGGAGTGGCCAGACAAGGGGCGAATTGACTTTGATCGCATGACGCTGACGTACGCTGGCTCAGATAAGCCGGTGCTGCGCGGGCTCACCTGCACCATTGAGGGCGGCGAGAAGATTGGCATCGTCGGAAGGACAGGTAATGATCATTTTTTGCTTGACATTTTAATTTTAAATTCTACTTCCTAAACAGGTGCTGGAAAGAGCTCGATGATTGCGGCGCTGTTCCGTCTCACCGAGCCAACTGGTGCGATTCGCATTGACGGCGTCGACATTCAGTCTATTGGATTGAATGACCTTCGTTTGAAAATCTCTATCATTCCCCAAGATCCGGTCATTTTTTCCGGTACTGTTCGCTACAACCTTGACCCTTTTAGCGAGTTTCCCGACTGTGATCTGTGGGCGGCGTTAGAAAAGGTGCAGCTGAAAAATCA